GACAAACCCCAACAGCTGCCCTGAAATGTGCCCCAAACACTTTCACTTCCCTCAGCAGAGGAAATGCAGCAGCAGAAACTCACAGCCAGCCACGAGCACCAAAACACAGCTCAAAAAAAGAAACCTGGCTGCAACCAAATGAAGAAAAAGCGACCTTGCAGAGCTGGCTAATTGGAGTAATTAGCTGATCACTAAGTGCTCTGCTCTGTCCTTGCATTGATCCTTTCAGGCTCAGTCATCCTCTGAGAGCTGGAAGAATTAACAGCTCCTCTACCCAGAAAGTGGGTTTAAAACCACACAGACAGCACCAAAAATGGCATTTCACGGGGGAAATCATCCCTTAGGCACCAATACCAACACTGCAACCCCAAACTGAAACGCAGGGACAAGCACAGGGGTCAGGGAGGGCGCTGACCATCAGAGAGGGGCACCAGGAAATCCTCATCCACAAAAACCTCACCAGGAAAATCCCACCAATGAAAACCTCACCAGGAAAACCTTATCAATTAAAACCTCATCCATGAAAACCCCATCCATAAAAACCTCCCCATGAAAACCTCCCCAATGCAAACCTCCCCAAGCCTTGCCTCGTGGACCACTCAGAAGACGACACCAGTGGTGCTCCAGAAGCATTTTAGGTGTTTGAATTTGGGACATCCCCAGGGCTCAGCACCACCCCAGGGAATGGGAAACGCCTGAGGGAGGGAGTTTCAGCAGCCCAGCCCACCCAGACAGCCTGGGACACCTCAGAGTGAGGCAAGGGAGCCTCATTAATAACCAATTCCATAATAAACATTAATTCCATAATAAACATTAATTCCATAATAAACACCACTCAGGGGGCTCCTCCCAACTGCAGGCACTCAGTGGCTGGCAATGCCCTGGAGCACAAAGATCCAGATCTGCTTTAGGAACAGTAAATCCACCACAGAACAATTCAAATATTTATTATTTACATGCTTATCTAACCCCAGTTCAAATGAGACTTTTCTCCAGGATCTCTCTGGAAATCAAGGAGCACAGCTGATTGTGTTCAAAGCACAACTCCCTTCAGTGGGCACAGACCTGAGCCCAATTCTTCATCTCTCACTCATGGAAATACCCCCTGAACAGCAAACTGCTCAAGGCTGGCACCTGTGGGGCATTTTCTGTGCTAGAGAATCCCATCAATGCAGAAAATAACCAAGCCACAGCCTGGACTGAGCTTTCCCCCAGAGCTGCCCAAGCTGGCTGAACAAACCAGAGCATGGACACACCTTCCTCAAGCATGAACTGATCCCAAAAAATCCTTTCTGTGCCTCTCTTTGTTCTGGGCAGCAAGGCCTAAACCAGGAATTCCTGACAGGGACCACCCTGGACAATTATTTACACATGAAAGCAGGAATTTCCACACTTAAAAACTTCCCATTTGATTTCTTAGAAGTGTCTAAATTAGAATATGCAAACTAGAATATGCAAACGATTTTTAGAGGTATTTTCAAGGGTGTACATTCAGCCAACAAGACAGCCAAGAATTCCTGCTGAAGTCTGCAAGTTTTACAAAACTTCCATATTTCCAAGAAGCTGTTGGGAAGCAGCACATTATTTACCCAGAGGTGCACCTGGATATCAGGACTCACTGCACAATTTTATTTTCTGCTCTTATAAGATTATTATCTTATTTTTCTCCTGTATAAACACACACCCAGAAATCTGCAGCTTGTCCCTTGCATCCCTTGCAGCCCAGCCTCCTGCCAGCTGGGTTTGAACCTTTCTTCCCCTGAGTGATTTTCATAGAATTAAGATTGGAAAAGACCTCCAAGATCATCGAGCCCAACCTTTGAGGGAACACCAGCTCAGGTCAGTGTGAAGTGGAGTTTAAAAGCCATTTTCACTTACCTTGTCTCTGGATTGTAGCCCAGGATGTAGAAAAATGAATCCACTCGTGCCTTGAACTCTCTAGCAGCAAATATGTCAGAGAAATGGGAGATGTTGCACTTCCCTCTGCAAGGAAGAAAGAGGAGAAAATGGCATTAGAATTCTAGCTTGAGTAACAGCTGCTTTAATGAAGTGCAATCTGGGGAGAAGCCACAGACATCCCTGCTCTCATAAATGTCCAAAACACCATAAATACAGAAATCCTTTAACGGAAGTGTGGGCTCTTCCCACGGGGCAAAGGGAGGGAGATGCAGTCACGGGGGCTCAGATGCTGCTCTGCAAACTCTCATTGATTCTCCTCCAGCCAGCACAGCCCAACCAACAGCAGCTTGGATGCAATGCTGACAGTCTCCAACGTGCAAGGCTGTTACACTTGCAGTCACAGCCTCCAAAATTCCCCAACCCAAGGTCTGAGAGAGGCCCCACACACCCTGAGTGCCAGCCCTGCTCTCACACTCATTTCCTCCCTGCAGGCTGGCACTGCTTCCCAAGTTTAGTCACTTAGACAGAAAATGAGCAGGGAGGTTTCTTTTGATATTTCACATTTTAGAAGTATTCTAGGGAAAGAGGTTTGGCTTCCTTTCAATAATTCACCTGGCAGCTAATAAGCACTTTGCAGCTAAGCTGCATTGTCTCTGTGGATGGCAGCAGCACCTCCTGCTCCCAGCACTCCAGACCAGGAGTTCTGCATTCCCCAGAGAGGCAAAAAGCACATCATGTTTATGACACCCTTCCACAGAGATCTACAACTACCCTCTAGTTGAATTTTCCCACTGGTTAGAGTAGAATATTGCTGGTTACAATCACTGGTTTTTATTCCCCAGTTTGTCATCAATCCACTGTGCGTCCATTTGTTTGCAGAGGGCACAGAGATGATCTGGCATTATAATAAATTAGAATCTCATGTTACCCTTTCATGCATCACGACACACTGTGCCTCCCCCACGTTCTCTGCAGGAACACCATGTGCAATTATCCTTCTGCTCATCCTCTGCACTCACAGGTTATTGCCCAAGTTTGTTTGGCACACACGGAAATTCCATTTTTATCTTTCCATCCCTATCTTTTCTTTAAAGGGAAAAAGCACTGAGAGGATGTGGCAGGGGAGTTAGAGCAGTCCCAGGGAATCTGCAGCCACAGAGCTGAGTTTGTGTGCTTGATTTCCAGATTTCCAGCCTGGCTCCTGGTGTGACACTGGGACTCAGCAGAGGCTCCCAGCACACCCTGCAATGCTCTGAGTTTATAAGAAAGGTTTAATATGTAAATCAAAGGCTTTCCCCCACCAGAACAGAAGCCAGTTTGTCTTGAAGTAAGTGGCTTCAGCAAAGTGACTCTGAACAAAAAAATGTCTCCAGATGGCTGTGGTGAAACACCATCTGAGCACCATTATCGGGGAGATTATTCAATTTGCATCTTGACAATATCCATGCATGTTTGGCACGCTGAAAATCAGCTGACAAATAACGCCTGGCTGCTGGGCTCTGAGAGCAGCTCCAGTGAGGGTGTCCCCCAAAGCCTGGAGGGTGCCAGGGCACAGTGAGGGCACACAGCTGGGATCTCCCTCAGCCTGGGCTGGGCTCTGAGCAGGGACAGCACCCACAACAAGCCTTTCATGCAGCCCAGCAGAGAGCCAGAGCTGCACGAGGGGCTCTGAGGGAGGGACAGGGCTGCTGCAGGAGCCAGCCATGCCCCGGGCTGGCAGGGAGGGCAAACAGCTCCTGCTGGGCACCACTGACTGCCTGGCACGGAGAGGAACCTGCAGGGCTGCAGCTCCCTGCTGCACCAGGGCCCAGCACACTGCAGGGAGAGGGCACGGCTGGGCTGGGGGGGGCAGTGACCCCAGGAGCCTCTGTCCCCCCTGGCTGTCCCCACAGGGCCTCAGGAACCTCTGTCCCAGCCCAAGGCTCTTCCCTCCGGAGCCCCTGACACCTCTGTCCCAGCCCCAGGCTGTCCCCAGGTGTCTCCAGCCTGTCCCCAGGTGTCTCCAGCCCGTCCCCAGCCCCAGGATGACCCCAGCCCGTCCCCAGGCTGTCCCCAGCCCGTCCCCAGGTGTCCCCAGTCCCAG